GTGTTTAGTTACCTTTTTCAAAGTGCACCTATCATGAAAATCATCTTTTGTAAGCTGTTTGGACAGAACTGTGTGTCAGTATAGTGTGTCCACAGTCATATTGGGGTGATATAAAGACAATAAATCTCTTTTTTTTTTCATTCCTGATGTTAAAATAGGATCCAATTCCCTCCCTTTTTCAGACCGACCACAACGTGGCTTATTAGTGCAGTTTCCTCTCCCACCAAATTGATTGATAGCCGCGTATTAACATATCTTCATAGTAAAGCGTATAATCATATCAACAAGACAGGACCTGCGCAAAACAACTAGGATTAAAAGACCTGTTGAGCTCTCTTTGATCATCAATCATCACCAAATGTGATTAAGAGTGAGTTTAAAACGTTTTTAAAACAGTGCATGTTTATAATGAACTGCAGTGATTTTATGGTCTTCATCACCACAGCTGCATGTCAGTACAATTATAAAAGAAGACGCTTCAATCCCTGTTTGTTGACGTTAAATCAGGTTTATTTTGTACATTAACATAACGGATATCCATACCGCAGTGGATATGAACATGTATACTGTCAGATTTGCGTGCAAAAACAGTGCAAAGTTACCTGTGCACGCTGTGTGTGACTCATTGCAAAAACGCTTGAATTAACTCCATAACAAATCCATCAAATAATCATTGGGAAAGTTCTTACTGTAGCATTTTTCATGAATGTTTCGTGAGATCTTCTTCCTTCATGTCTGTCACTGTGCTGTTTATCTGACGCAGCCGTGGTGGCGATTGAGGCACACTCTGACAGGCTCGTGGGAACGGTGGGAGAACCAGCATTAAAGCTATAAGCAACAAAAACAGCTACATATTGTTCAAAGCAGAAAATCCCAGTTTTCTGAAAGGTATAATAAATAATCTGATGGGCGTTTTTTACGCGGAAACCTTACAGACACATTCTAAAGACACAAAAGACTTAACCTAAATCTCGAAAAAGGGGTAAAATATATTTTTATTGTTTTTTGCTTTGTTGTGTTATTTTATTTCAACTTGATTTATTAAATTTTAACTGGTTTTTTACTTTTTAATATTTTTATTTTATGTTGTTTGCTTCATTTTACTTTGTTTTGTTTTATCACATTTTTCCAGTTTTTTTTTTTTTTTAATTCTTATTTATTTAATATTTGTTGTTTTGTTTTTGCTCAATTTTATTTTGCCTTCTTTCATTTTTTTCAGGTTTTCTACAATTGTTTGTCATTTTTAAAACATTAGTTTTGTTCTGTTATGTTTATTTTATTTTATTTTGGCTTGTTTTGTCACATCTTTACTGCTTATCTACTTATTTTTTTATTGTTGAATTAATTTTTTGTTGCTTATTTGTTTGCTTTATTTTACTTTATCTCGTTTAGTCTTAGTTTCCCAGGCTTTCTACTCATTTTTGTCTTTTTAAATTTTTTTAAAAATGTTTTTTTAGTGTGTTTTTTGTTTTGTTCTGTTGTGTTTTATTTTATTTTGACTTGTTCTATGATGTTTTACTTGTTTATTATTTTTTTAGATGTTGTGTTGTTTGCTTATTATTTCATTATTCTGATTTAATCTTAATTACTCAGATTTTCCACTCCATTTTATTTTATTTGCATTTGTTAACTCAAATTACATTTGAAATCTCATTCAATAAAGGGTTTTGCTGTGCTTTCAGTGGACACACATGCATGCTCACCTCAGGACCCCGAGTGTACAGTACTTTACATTTATATCTGAGTGTTTTAGCTGTGGTGCTGGTGGTCCGCTTGGTAGGGCTGCACAATTTCTGTTGCCATTTTCGGAGAGATTTTTTTTCAACACATTTCTAAACATAATAGTTGTAATAACTAATTTCTTATAACTGATTTCCTTTATCTTTGCCATCATGACAGTACAGATATTTTACTATATATATTTTTAGCATACTAGTATTCAGCTCAAAGTGACATTTAAAGGCTTAATTAGGTTAGTTAGGGTAAATCATTGTCAAGTCATTGTATAACAGTGGTTTGTTCTGTAGACAATCGAAAACAAATATTTCTTAAGGGGGCTAATAATATTGAACTTAAAATGGTTTTAAATATTAAAAAATACTTTTTATTCCAGCCAAAATAAAACAAATAAGACTTTCTCCAGAAGAAAAAAATATTATAGGAATTATTGTGAACAATTCCTTGCTCTGTTGAACATAATTTGAGAAATATTTGAGCAAGAAAAATATGGCAGAAAATCAAAATATTGCAGTGCTAAATTTTTCCAATATCGTGCAGCCCTACCCCTGGGTTTTTTCTGTACTTGGGTCTGTCAGTACTAGTACTACATATTACATCAGCAATATGCCTCCGGGATGGTGCTGTGTTAGCACTGGTTTAGTGTGTTCATCCAGTCACTGAGGCTGAAATAGATGTGTGTGTGTTACTTCTGTGTCTCTGTTTCACTCGCTCAGACTGGATGAAGCTGGTTTACTGGTGAAGGGGCTGAAATTAACTCTGCAAGCTCGGGTTTTTAAGGCTGTTTTTGCATCTCAAATGAAAACCTTTACTCGGGTTAGAAAAGTGTGCAGTGGAAGGTGTTGGTTGTGGCATTATTCTGCATAAAGCTGTCCAGCATTAATTACATGGATTTTGTTATTCAATTGTTAGTGTTGTTGAATTTATTAAGCATTCATAAGTGTGATTAATGATCATTTAGGCACATCCCAGCTAACAAAACTAAACTATGCTGTAAGGTTTTCTGTAAGATATGTAAAGAGTTCAGTTGCAAAAACCTCTAAATGCCGTCTGAAATTTTCTTCTAAATTGAGCACTTTTATTAGGCTCCAGTGTGTATATTTTAGTAATATCACTTTTATGGTAAATATTAATATTATAAATATTAAGTCCTTTTCCTGGTCTTTAAGGTGAAATAACTCACTATAAACAAAGGGGTCTGAGTAAAACATTTTCATTTTCGATGGAAATTTCAGACCGCACTTTTTATGTAGATAGAACTCTTTTTATAGAAGAACAATATTTGAGAATGTTTGCTAAATATGCACACTTTTTAAGTCATAAAATATGCAACGTTTAGCTCATTTTAAAAGTTGTGAAAAAAATGTTAAATGTACAGCCACCTAAAATGGTGTTAATGAAATGTAATACAAATATGCTTATTTTTTGTTATAAAGTTAAATGAATAAATCATGCACAATATTTTATCTTGCTTTATCACTTTTTTATTACATTTGTTTTATGTTTCATTTACATTTTTGCTTTGTTTTAATTTGTCGAGTTTTATCACATTTTTTCCTGCCGTTTTACTTTTTTTTTTAACATTTTATTTTATCTTGTGTTGTTGTGTTTTATATGTGTATATTTTTAAAATAAGAACAATATTTCAGAATGTTCGTTAAATGCATTTTTTTAAAGTGATATTAAAAAATATACAAAGTTATGCAAATGTTCTGAAACCGGTTATATAAGAATTTAAAAAATATTAGGTGGACATTCAGCTAAAATTATGTATTAATAAAATTAATAATATATTAATAAACCTTGTGCATGCTTATGAGCATTTTTGCCTCTTTTTTGTTTCATATTGTTTTTGTGCAATAAAAATATTTACATTATATAATTAAAATATTTAACAGACATTGTTACTTTTGGTAATGCAAAAAAAAACATTGTAAAATGTTTAATTCTCATTTCTTTTCATAAATAGTTTCTCTTTATCTTCAGGACAAAAATGGAAATGTATATAAAAATAACAGATTTAAAAAATACTAAAAATGACTTAATGTTAGGTAGTTATTATCAGGACTGATTCTGATAATAAAAAAAAAAACTGTAGGAAAAATCGCCATCAAATTTAGTGCTGGGGAAAGATTTTTCACAATTAATTGCATCCAAAATAAAATATTAAAAAAAGTATATATATTTAATATGTATTTGTGATACACGCACATATATAAGAACAAAATTATAAAAAATATTTTTGTTACATAGATATTTAAATTTGTATATAATTTGTATTATATACGATACAGTTTTGTGTGTATTTATATAAACATGATACTCTTAGGGCAGCACGGTGGCGCAGTGGGTAGCACGTTCGCCTCACAGCAAGAAGGTCACTGGTTCGAGCCTCGGCTAGTGGTCATTTGCCGTTTCTATGTGGAGTTTGCATGTTCTCACCGTGTTTTCTCCTGGTGCTCGATTTCCCCCACAAGTCCAAAGACATGTGGTACAGGTGAATTGGGTAGGCTAAACATTCATTCATAGTGTATGTGTGTAAATGTGTGTGTGGATGTTTCCCAGAGTTGCGGCTGGAAGGGCATCAGCTGCATAAAACATGTGCTGTATAAGTTGGCGGTTCATTCTGCTGTGGCGACCCCAGATTAATAAAGGGACTAAGCCGAAAAGAAAATGAATAAATGAATTAAAATTTAAAACATTTAAATGTATATAAAAAATTGTAGATTTAAAAAAAACCTAAAATTAATAAAAATAAATACAAAATAAAAAAAATAGTGGAAAAAAACATAAAAATTTGTGCTGGGCATAGTTAAATCACGATTAATCGCATCAAAAATAATATATATATGTATATATATATATATATATATATATATATATATATATATATATATATATATATATATACCATTTATATATATTTAATATAAATACATGATGCATATTTAATAACAAAATTATACAAAACACTTTTATTTCATAGATATTTAAATTTGTATATAATTTGTATCATATACAAATAAACATTTATATGTATTTATAACATAATAGGTTTACACAGTACACACATTTAAATGATGTCAAAACCAACTTTTACTTTGGATTAATCGTGATAAATTTTTGCCCAGTACTAATGAAAATATAAAAAGAGGCTACTCCTTTCTTTATTTGGCATTTTAACTTTAATTTGACTATTTTAATAAAGAGCAAAAGACTGAACAAATACCTCCTAACATTACTTTCTTAACATTTTTCGAATAGATGTTGTGTGCCAATGTTCTGGGAAAGTTCTTTGTTAGCTGGGCTAGAAAGACAGCTTTATACAGCATAATGTGACCAAACAGGGATTGTTTGGATCAAGATCTTATAAATGGAGTCATTCTTGAAATGCACCTTCAGGTATGGATCACCGAGAGAAGAAGTACAAGGCTCACCGTCAGTTTGGAGACCGGCGTGGAGGAGTGATCAGCGCTCGCACGTATTTCTACGCAGATGAAGCCAAGTGTGACCATCACATGGAGACCTTTATAAACTGCATCAAAGCCTCAGGTGAGCAGACTCTTGTTTTTTGTCGCCTAATTATTGATTCTGGTTTTGAAGTCTGTTTGGACCTTATGTTGTAGGGCTGTGCAGAAGTGTCAGGATTAATACATGTATTGTTGTTAATGTGTGTGTGTGTGTGTTTTAGCTGGAAGTTCTGTGGATGGATTCTCAGCTATTAAGATGACTGCCCTCGGACGGCCACAGTTCCTGGTAACTCTCTCTCCCTCACACACACACTTCAGGTCCAGTTTGTTCTCCAGGTTTGATCAGTGTGATTGATTTTGCTTGTTTATTTCCTCCTGAAGCTGCAGTTTTCTGAGGTGTTGGTGAAATGGAGGAGGTTTTTCACTCTGCTGGCGGCTCATCAGGGTAAAGACGGGATGGCCGTTCTGGAGCAGAAGCTGGAGCTTCAACAGCTGCAGGTTTGAGAAATACACTCGTCAACGTCTCGCTTTATGATGCATGTCAGGGTGGATTATTGACAGAGTTTGAGATGTTGGTCATTTAGTGTAGTCAATTCATATGAGTTCATTCACACATTTGCTGACTGCACTAGAATGTGTTTATATTCAGTGATATGACTTTGTTTTAAAGTTAAATAATATTGTCTAGCAGAAAATAATATCAGGTTGGATCTTGATGTGAATTTGAATTTTAGAAAAAAAAAAACGCTAGATTTTTATTTACTTTTATTAGCTTTTTTATTGTAAATCCTTATAAGTAATCTTTAATATCTGGCTGATTTTATATTTGATTTCATAAGTCAATTCTTACGTTTGAATAAAAATGATTATAAATGCATTGTAGGGGTGTCAAAATTAATCGTTTCTTCGATGCACCACGATGCAGACGCGGACAATTCGATATCGTTTCAGTAATAATCATAACCGGTTATTACTGACGTCATTTACCTCATAGTCGCGAGGGAGACGATCGCGAGTATTTACAACGCTCTTACTACTTAATACTCATGAACTGTGCACAATTTCACTGTGTGTGTTTGAGAACGAAAGTAGCCTACTCCATTTCTCTCTCTCTCTCTCTCCCTCTCTCTCTCTCTCTCGCTCTCGCTCTGTCTCTGTCTCCCTCTTTTTCTCACACACACACAGTGGCCCATTTGACCTGCTGGCGTGGCTTTTCTTCTCCTCTCGGCTGTTTTACAGCGATACTTTTGGATACATACATGAGCGTGCCTGCAGAGTTTTCTCCACCGTGTCTATAATAGATGAGCTGTGAGATCGCCGCTACCGCCTGCCGCTTATCATTCATCTGAAGAGCCAATCGCAACCGTTTTTGTTGAGGGTGTGACCAATCAAAGGGGTGTAAGAGAAATAAACAAGATTCAGAAATTGAGCTGGATATTTATTTTTGTTAATATTATTTGCTTAATGCTCGTTGTTTTTTAAAGTTACAGTTTATATATCTGACTGTTTGTATTAAATGACACAACTGTATTACAAATAATAGCCTATATAAATATAAATATATTCATACATTTTAATACAAGAGCTTCTGCTGTGAAGAAAATATAAAAGCATCGCCAATGCACCATGATGCACCGAAAAATCGAATTGAACCGAATCGATGGCATGATAATCGTAACCGAACCGAACCGTGAGACTAGTGTAGGTTCACAGCTCTAATGCATTGAGATAAATACATTTTAAAATACACTATAAAGACTCACCTATTCCAGTTACTCATCGGCAGGAATTGAAGTCGGATGGTTCACCTCACCTTCTACACCTCTCACCTTCTTCCTTCTGTCTCTTCAGCTGTGGATGCATATTCTATGAATAAGGGATGTGACTATTATATTCTGGTGGTTGATGGAGGACCTATTGTTTACCTTGTGCTTGCAAGATCGCTCTCAATCTGCAATAGGGGTGTCAAAATTAATAGTTTCTTCAGTGCATCGCAATGCAGACGCAGAAAATTCTGTATCAGTTCAGTAATAATCATAACCGGTTATTATGTACTGACGTCATTTATCTCCTATGCACTCTGTCGCGAAGGAGGTGAACGCGAGTATTTACAACACTCAGGCAACTCAGGGCCGGGCCGTGGCATAGGCACCATAGGCATATGCTAAGGGCGCTGTATATCCAGGGGGGCGCCAGAAATGAGCGAAGTTCAGTTGGTTTTGTTTTCGATATTCCTGACACACATTCAGTTATTGACAGCATTTACTCAAAAACCTCTTACCCTAAAAAGATCTAAAGTGTGTTTCCTACAAAAAGACAAAGCTGGTTATGTTTCACAGCTGTCTTTCTTTTTTTTCGCTCGACATTACGAGCACTGCTGCGTTTAAGCCCTCGCAATATGTGTTTAGCCAGGAGAGCTGGCTCTGAGAGGAGCTCTCAGTAAGGGACCGTCGGAAAAGTGCTTCTTTTTTTTTTTCTGCTCCGCTCAGCTCGAGCTCTCCCTGTTGCGAGGGCTTAAGTGTGTGTGTGTGTGTTTGTTTGTTGCTGTCTATGTTTGTGTATGTCTTTGAATGAGAGACAGTGTGGTGCTGTGTGTCTGTGTGTTTATACAGACAGCTTGTTATAGCCTCCCCCCTAAAATATCATACTGTATATGGAAAGCATCGTAAATGCACCGTGATGCACCGAGATATCGAATTGAACCGAATCGAAGGCAAGATAATCGTAACCGAACCAAACCGTGAGACCAGTATAGGTTCACACCTCTACTCTGCAATACCACTTACCCGCTTCTCCTTCTGAATTATCCACATTGTTTTGAATAAACTGCCTTGAAAGATAACCTTCCTTGTGTGACCGTGACAATCATATTGTATTTGTTTTAGTCTTACTGAACAGAAAAGACTACTCTTAATTCATTTATTTTCCTTCGGCTTTTTATTTATCTGGGGTCGCCACAGCAGAATGAACCGTTTACTATTCCACCATATGTTTTACACAGTGGATGCCCTCAGGCTGCAATCCAGTACTGGGAAACACCCATACACTCTCACATTCACACTCATACACTATGGCCAATTTAGTTTATTCGATTCACCACACAGAAATGCCAACTGTCCTAGCCGGAACTCGAACCAGCGACCTTCTTGATGTGAAGCGACAATGCTTGCTAAAAAATCTTAATGCAATAGCTTTACATTAATAAAAACATTTTTTATTTAGGATTTAAAAATTCAAATAGTTTATTGTCATATGCACAGTAAGGTAGCAGGTTTCCTGTTCAATGAAACTCTTAATTTGCTGTCCGGGCTGAATGCCAAGGAAGTTTTAAGGTGTAAAAAATATAAACAATTTAACCTAATAGGCAATTGCAGAGCATGCAAACAAAGTAAAACAAATAAAACAATTTCAATAAAACTATAAGTAAGTGAAGTAAACCTGTATACATTAATTCACATATCTTTCTCTGTCTTTTTTACAGGACAGTTTGATCAAACTGGGGGTTGGCGCTAAATCAGACATTGAGAACTGGTTTACAGGAGAGGAACTGGGCTCATCAGGGTAAAACTCCCTTTAAACTCTTGCTTAAATAAATAGACATGAGCCAAAAATCAGACTGAAGCTGTGTGTGTGTGTGTGTGTGTGTGTGTGTGTGTTTTTGATTAACTCTGTTTTGCTCTTGCAGAACTATTGACCTGCTGGACTGGAACAGCCTGATCAACGACAGAACCAAGATCTCCAACCTGCTGGTGGTGCCCAACATGGAGGTAACACACATACACACACTGCAAACACACACACAAACACACACACATACACACAGAGAGACATTAATACGAAACACACACTGACACATTCACTAAAACACTACCAGAACACACACACACCAAACAGACACACATGCATCAATATAATGCAGCAAACAAATACACAAAAGATGCAAAAATACAATCAAAAGACCCACAAATGGACTAATATACAAACATACACACAGACATTAACATGACGAATTCCAGGACAACACAAACACACATACACAAAGTTACACACACACACACAGAAACATACATAGTGTTATGTATTGTACATAGTAGTGTACACTATCATACAAACACACAATGACATACACACACACACACACACACACACACACACACAGATACATACATAGTGTTATGTATTGTACATAATAGTGTACACTATCATACAAACACACAATGACACACAAACACACACACACACACACACACACACACACACACACACACACACACACACACACACACACACACACACACACACACACACACACACACACACACACACAAACAGATACATAGTGTTATGTATTGTACATAGTAGTGTACACTATCATACAAACACACAATGACACACAAACACACACACAGATACATAGTTTTATGTATTGTACATAGTAGTGTACACTATCATACAAACACACAATGACATACACACACACACACACACACACACACACA